CGAACAATATCTTTTAAAAAATCATCATCGACCATACATGAGAGTATTAGCCACACATTGCAGATCGGCTATTACGCAAGCTAAACAATTCAAATATAAATTTCAAATTGATGACTTGGAACTTGATGATCTGTCATCCAAAATGAATATTCTGCTTGACGATTCGTTAGAATTAATGAACAACAAGCGAAAACAAATCGAATAATGGATATTAAATAATCCAGTGGGCGAAGAAGATGATGATAAAACAACAAGAACAACATCGAGTATTAATATGACATCATCTAATGCTCAGTGTGTAGTTAATGATAGTTTCCACAAATGATTGTAAGACTCACCAGTTTTCTTTTTTTTGTAGGCACCATGGAGAAAAAGCGATAGTATCTGAAACAGTGTCAGTTGCATTTGAAACCGATCTATCGGAGTAAGCAATCAGAGAAAAAGTTCTGATTTATCTCTGTTATTAAACTAATGATATTTTTAATAGTGAAAAAACACATGAATTAAACGAAGCAACTGAACAAAAAAATCGAAAATTTCGTGAAGCATTCAAACTAGTTGAATTTAAAAAAATGAAACGTAGCAAAAAACGTCATCACGATTCATCATCATCTTCATTCCATTATCATCATTCAAAACACAAATATCACAAAGACGAATTGCAAACCTCATCGTCGTCGGAACGACAACAATCTGAACATGACGAATATTCAAGTAAAAGGTAGATTCTACTCTAGAGGTTATTTGAATATTACGCAATCATTTTTTATGTTTTTGATCATCTTATCTATGATAAATAATAATCATTCAGGCTCTGCTCTCTACCTTCTTATCCTCGCAGTTACAAAAAAATTTTAATCAAGAGTTTTAATGGTTTTGTGCATCAGAATAATAAATAAGAATTATTTTATTTTAGTAATGCCAACAAACCACAAGCTGGGTCATCTTCTACGCAAAGGTGTGATATTTATTATCTTTGTTTATTTACATTTCAAATTCCTTTTTTTGTTTTATCTAACAGAGATCATTAGAGGAATCACTGTCAATCGAGTATGAAAGTAAAGCTGAAAAGAAAAAGAAAATTAAACGAAAGCACACAGAAGAATAGACAGATGTATCAATATATCGAGTAAGAGAAACAACGACTTAGGAAATTTTAGAAAAGTTTCTGGCAATAATATATTACAATAGACGGCAATGTAAAAATAAACACTACGTTTGTTTTTTCTCGACAGAGTGTCCTTTTTGAAACTGAACATTCTTCTTTGTCTGTAGCTTCCCAGTGGAACTGATCTCAAATGCCGAAGTACAATTTCTATAAATATTTTTTCTTCCCGGAATCCTCGATTAATTCCGCTGTAAGGATAGAAATTTCAGTTCGGAATTCTGTAGGAAAAAAACATTTTGAATAAGTATTCAGGGAAAAAACTCTCGCTGTATTGAGATTCCAGATTGAGAACCCCCTAGGAATTCCTGTTTATGCCATGAATTTGTGTTACTGCGAATTCCTCGCAGTTTGAAATAAGTCCGAAATCGTTGTATTTACAGGAATTATCAGTTTAGAAATTCCCTACAATCACGAATTTCACCCACTTCGTATCTAATATTTTTAGAAAATCATTAAAAATAGAAAAAGAGTTTTTTTGTAGAGAGAAATGTTGCTCTTCAGACGTCCAAACCACAGTTTTGGCTTCATAAAGGTTTCGGAAGGTTTGCACAATAATTTTTTAATTCAAAATTTTACCCAGAGCAGTAGTAAGAAAATGCCATCTATCTTCACTACAACCTCACTACCATTTCTTTCTTTTTAGGCTGCATTTATTGGAAGTCAAGAATCATCAACAATGGAAAAGTAAAAGCAAAGATGAAAAAAAAGCTGAGGATGATTCAGATTAGGACAAAATTTGTTTTTGTTTTACTAAAGTGAGAGTTTAACAGACCTCTTTATACCTTTGAGTAGCGCAACGTCTCCTGAATCGATGGTAACTACTTTTTTCGCTACCAAAAGTTTTCCTTAAAAATGACTTTTTGATACAGAAAACAAAGTTTTTCTACAATCTTCAGTTTTCACGTGTATTTGCAGAGGACCGTTCACATTAGGAACAAAATTTCTCTACCTAACGTAAACGAAAACATATATCGTTCATATTGTTTATATTATTATAAGAAATATTGTTACGAAATGTTGTTATATTTTCGGTTTATTTCTTTTTATATTCCTGTCATTGTTATACTACGTCGTTACTGTTCATTTCTCTGTTGAACGGAAGTTTTTTGTTAGAAAATGTAATGGTTAATCAGCCAAAAAAAAAAATTAGAATTGTTGAAAACAAATAAAATGTATTGAATCCAGTGGTATTCATCTTTATTCTCGCTGTTCCAAGTGATTTAGAACAAAGCAAATTAATTCATGAACAAATATTAAAGCTGAATCATCAGCAACTAATAGTTATTTTTCTAACATTCGTCTCATACAACCACTTATCGATCTGTATGGTAAATGTAATGAAATAACAACAGCTAAAACATTGTTTGTTCAGATTAAAATGAAAGATGTTGTGTAAGAGAGAGAGCCCAACGAAAACACTTGCGAAGTAGTGGACAAAATGTCCAGGGATATCGCGACAACAGGAGGAGAGATTCCCCTCCCTGCTTTTGAAAATCTTTTACAGTCTGGATTCTGCCACATTTAAGGATATGTTTTTTATGCTTTAATAGTCGGACAAATATACCATGATTTACTTTCAATTAGTAGATAATGAACACCGGCATATGAGCTATCTTTTGCCATATAAACTTTAGTGACAACTGTTCCCCTTGTTGAAAAAAATCGCTAAGGAAAAAGAAATTAAAATACATTTCAAAAATTCTCTTGTGTATACAGTCTGATAATTGCGGATATGAGTATACATACATAAGGTGTTCAGTGCAATGAGTTCTATCCCTTTCTACTCAGTTCAAGTAGAACTGGTTAAATATTTTTTTAAACTAACTCTAAGGTTTTCTTTACTTGGGTGATCTCACTCAGATTAAACCAAAATATTCGTCTATTATACATATATGGTGAATGTAGAAAGATGTAAATATTTTCCTCTCATCCAAGGGAGGGTCTACGAAAATCTTTGGTTATCTAGGTAAATTCAGTTTTTCCCTCGATGACTATTCAATAGTAAAATTTTTCCGACATAGTTCTTTCTTCGCTTCTGAATATAGTTCGACTAATTGAAATAATGCCAAGGCGAAAAAAATGCTTCTATTAAAAGAACGAACATGATGGTCGAAAAAGTCCAAATTTTTCACTGTGCCACCTTAGGACATTTTAGCCTATTCACACCTGCGTTTCTCGATCAGTTTTTCGGAATGGGATTTTCTCGCGACGTGTATATACTGCCTTTTCTCTAAAAACACGTCCGCTTGCCAAGAAAGGAAAATATTTATGTCATATAG